CACCCCCCGACACATCCACCACCCCACCCCCAACACACACACATCAAACCCCAGCAAAACCACCACCCAATTCCCTGCAGATCGACGACCCCACCCCCCAACACATCCACCACCAATCCCCACCACACCCATCACCCAACCCAACACACCCATCACCCAACAACCACCTAATCCCCATCATATTCACCACTTCACCCCCAGTGCATCCACCACCATTATACAGCACAGCTACCACATTCAACCCCAACACATCAACCACCCCACCCCCAGCATATCCACCACCCCACCCCATCACATCCACTACCAATCACCAGCATAGCCACCACCCAACCCCCACCACATCCACCACTTAACCCTCAACACATCCACCACCCAACACCCACAAACACAAAAAGAGCTACTCCAAAAGACCCTTATGGTTTAAAATGAAAAATTATTGCAGATGCTCTAAACAGGATAAAATTATAAAGAGGCCCTTTCAGGTGAAAATATTCAGAATGCCCACAACCACAACCACAATGAACCACAACCCATTTCCATATTTCATTTGAAGCAATTACATACATGTCACCTTAATGAATCACAACCACAACCTATTATCATATTTCATACGACGCAAATAAATATTGAAAGCACACACACACTCGCAATCACAACACATAGAGCACCCAACCACATCTCAACATAACACACACCCACAACCACCATACACATTCCCACAACCACAACACACAACATCCAACCACAACTCACTTCACACACAGCCACACACACCCCCACAACCACAACATAAACACCAATAACCACCACACACACACGCCCACAGCCACACACACACCCACATCCACAACATACGACACCCAACCACAACCCACAAGCCACACCTCAATGAAGAATCTCCTCATTTTTATATCAATGCAATTGCATACATGCCACCCAAAACATTGTCATCTACAAATGAAGCATCCTCTTTCATTTATTTTTCAATTTATAGTTGAAGCATAAAAGAAAAAATTGTGTTGTATTGAATAGATGCAAACGTAAAAAGGACACCCAAAAGAATGCTATGAGCAAACCAAACTCTTTTACATCCAATTTTTAAATTGTCACACAAACATCAAAGGAATTGATTAAATCCCATCCAATATTTTTCATTTGAGGCAATGACATAGAGGGTACCCAAAAACTTGTTATCTCTGAATGAGCACCCTCTGCAAATGAGTATCTAAAACCTTGTTATCGAAAAATCGCTTAAAGACAGACATTCCATGAGAAAACCACAAACATAATATCATTCCATTGAAAAATCATCACAAATCGCATCTAGAAAGGTATTCCATTGAAAATTACTTACAAAGCACAATAACCTGAGGTCGGAGTGAGGAGGAAGATGTGAAAGGCACCGCTAATCGTGAGATAGGAGCATTCGAGGTAAAGAGACGAACGAGGAGTCGCCTAGGACAGAACGGGGGTTGAGCGAAGAGCGAAGGACATGCGGGTAATAAGCGGGGGTAAGAACGCGGACCGCGGGATCCAGCTTGCAGTGTTTATTAAAAAAAACCCAAACGGCTTTTGTTATTAATATAAATGTCCCCAACTAAAAATGCAATAAAATCCCCGAAGTATAAACCCTAAACACGAAAAAATATTACATCAGGACTCCGCACGTAGAGCTACGTGCGGGGTCCAATGAAATAACGCTGTGGAGGAGATCGGCCTGATAACACTAGAGAATATTCACCTCGTGTTATTCAGGTGTTATTGTGTGTTATTCAAGTATTATTGATGTGTTATTGTGTTATTATAACACCGAAAATATTTTAGAATAAAATAACACCCAGAAGATTTTCTGGGGTGTTACGAGACAGATCACCTCTATGACAATTTTATCGGACTCCCAACTTAATAATTTTTCCCCAAACAGAGAGACGTTTTAGCCGGCACAGTCAAAGAAAGCGATTGCCAATCCAAGCTAATTTGTGATTCATCCGGCATTGCCATTACTTGCGGCTATCAATGGCAGGTTTAAGATGGCCTCCTGATGATTCCGATTTACCCCACCAGCGGGCACCGGCCTCGGGGGACCTGATCTCGGACGATGACCGCTCGGTGGCTGCAGACTCGTGGTCAATAAGGAGTGAGTACGGGAGCACGCTTGACGACGATCAACGCAACGTTGATACCTCTGAAGTCCTCTCCAGTGGAAACTTACGACCTGCTTCCGATTACAGGTCTCGATCTTTGTTTCATTTTGTTTTCATTCGGACTAATTGAGCATATATAGGATTTGTTAGGTCTCTCACAAATTTTCAGGGCACTTAGAAGCTGTAGAAGCTCGAGTGCATTTGGCTTATTCGGGGTTTTAGAAGGTGGGTGGTTCGGTTGATGTTCGAACCCATGCCATTTTCAAATGGGAACTCATTTGTACTGTCGGTGAAACAATTAGAAAAAATAATGTGTCTGTAACTAATATATCGGCAGTTAGACGTTCAGGGCTATGTTAGTTTAGCAATTATTCAGTTGCGAAAAACATTTCTGTGCTAGGCTTACTATGGCATGCCTGTGCACAATGCTGGTTGCATGCACAGTGGTGTGTATCATATGATAAACTGAAATACATAGCTACTGGATCATTAATTAAAAAATATGTTTGCACCAACTCCCTCCTGGTTATTTCCTTCAATAAAGGAAATGGGCAGTGACGCGGAGCTCCCTGGGCTGAGCCACTTGGACCGGTTTAGCCAAGGGGTTAATTGGACCGACCGACTCCTATTTTGGGGTCTAGGGTTGCCGCCCAAGGGGAGGGGCCTCCCCCTCATACTTATTTATTATCTACATTCGTTATTTTCTGATCGAGGGTTAGTTTTTGCTTTGAGATTTTCTGTACCAGAAGATAGAGAAGATCCAATAAAACAACAAGGATACAAAGGCTAAAATGATGAAGCTCCTCAAATATTATTAAAATAAGAGAGCAACGACTAAGAAACAACTGCTTCCATGGGCTTGAGGAATGCTAGGAGTTCATTGGCATGAGAGGGTGGAGAGTAGTGCCATCATATCGCAAACCATTCCTACCCTCCCTTAAGCAGCGCACATGATATAACTACATGCTACACAATTTTTATTTATTTATATATATCCAAAATTTTTCTATTTTCATTTATAATATTTGGGTGTGATAAATATATGCATGAAAAATTTATATTTTATCTTTACAGAGTTAATAATAGTGATATTTTTGATGTGTTATTAAAAATTGATGTAATATATATATA